ACTTACGAAAATGATAACGAATAAGGTTACATCATCAATTTCTTGACAACCCTATCCCCACAGTATGCGATTCATGCCGCATGAATTAGGGAGCATTTTCAGCCCCTACAGCCTATTGTCAAGAATGTTTTAGGCACGAATGACGATAACGATAATGACGTATTCGTTATCGTTTTCGTAAGGTTGCGAAATCTCCCTAATAAGTCATTGTAGACAATCAAATTGGCACCTTCAGTCTGCATTCGTGAATTCTCAAATGATATCGTAATGATTCATATGAAGCAAAGTTTTACATTCATAATATTAATTTTGTGTGGATTTTTTTTTTTTTTTTTGATAAGTTGCTGCGTTTTTTAAATTTTTTCCTCTTTCGTTTAATTTAAATAATTGTTCAGCTTTCAGCGCTAAAGGCTTTCTTCATCATTGCTTCTGTTTTCATTCATTCAAAACAATTATTATCCTCACTTTTAATAATCTGAATGTATATTTGTGTAGGCATACGAGGAAAACTGATCATGACATTGACAATTGTACGAATTAAATTTTTAAAAAACCGTACTCGTAATCATTACCTAATTCTTACATAATCGAAAACCTATTAAGAAATATTTAAAATTAAGTCTTATTATTATTTGTTATATAAATATTATTATCACCATCATAAACCTATTGCTAAAATCAGTTAAACAAAGCGCATTATTATAAAATGAGATATTATTTTTTTGTTATTGCCATATTATTATCATCATCATCATCAAAATATTGTTAAAATCAGTTAATAAGTAGCCTATTATTCCAAAATTAAGATATTTGTTTTTAATATTATCCTCAACTTAAACCTATGTGTTGCTTTAACTTGTATAATGTATTTGTGTGCTTTTCGAATATTTCTTGAATATCCTAATGTTTTCGTGATTTTTTATGTTCATTTTTTGATGTTTTTTTCCCTTGCAAATACCGTAATATCCAATCTTTCGTTTTGATTTGCAAAAAAGATTATTCGAATTTGAATTAGAAAACCTATTGCTAAAATCAGTTAATAGACATTATTTTTTGATGTTTTTTTTCCTTGCAAATACCGTAATATCCAATCTTTCGTTTTGATTTGCAAAAAAAAGATTATTCGAATTTGAATTAGAAAACCTATTGCTAAAATCACTTAATAGACGTTATTTAAGTTACTAAAATCAATGAATGAAATATTTAAGTTACTCAGTGATATGAGAAACTTATTGCCTCATTCACAAGGAAACATTTATTTTTGACGTAAGTCCAATATAACGTAGTTTGATCTACATTTTAAGTAAAATCAACAGAATTAAAGGAAAATGAATGAAAACTGAGCTGTATCCTAGTTGTCCTGGATTCAAATGCCATAAGGGCTTTTTCTAATGACCAAACCAGACTACTGTACACTGCATATGCCTCACAGAGGAACTTAATATATGCCTAGGCCCTATATAGCATTATATACATGATGGGTTGTGTATGATAGTAACGCTTACGCACTTACGTCTATATTTTATAGTATTGTTATTGCTAATTTGACGAGGTTTCCCTGAGGCAAATGACGTCTGATCTTGACTTTGAAAGTTGTACGAAATAATAATGAAAACCATACACGTAATCTAGGCCTCTTTACAACAATTGTTTCAGGACTACAGTATACACATAAATCGAAACTATTATTCAAGAATGTTAAGAAGTTAAGATTTTATATGAATACAAATGTAGCTTATGGTGGTTACGGTGTCTGTCTTACAATTCAGGAATCCTTGGTTCTAATCCGTGAGACACCAAAACCAAGCTGCATAAGCCCAAAGCCGGGCACTAACCGCTCCCGACGGTCGGCGGCCGACGCGATTCCACGAAAAACGCAATGCGACGACGCGCGCGTAAATAATCTTTTTAATGACGATCTGTTCAGACAGCCACCGACAATCAGCAGACAGCGTCGTGTCGTCTGGCGCTGGGAGCGGAATTGGATTCGTCTGCCGATGGTCGACCGTCGTACGTACGACGCATTAGTGAGTGATATAATTTCGTTCCATCCTGTAAAAATGGCGATTGTTCTGGATTTTAGATGACAAAAACATTTTCAGTATTCAGTCCCGGGATTTCAATTGAAAATACTAGGCCTATTACTGTATCTCTCGAAATTATATGCCTTCCTCCACGTGTTCACACTCATCTATACAAAATGTTATAAATGGAAACAAAAATTAAATGAATTTCAAAATAGCTGAAGGGGTGTGTATGATAATAATTGCTTATATAATTGCGGGTTTTTTTTCCATAGTATTGTTATTGTTAATTTGACGAGGTGTTCGTGATGCAGATTAATCAAAATTCTAAAAATGGAATCGACGATGACAGGCTGCAATAACAGCATTCTTATAGGCCTACTCCCACCTCATTTAATGCCAAGCCAAGACATTGATAAGCAGGTTATTGGTATTGTTTTTAACGCAAAATTATTTACTATAATATATTGTACCATATTCCCTGATTTTTTTTTCTTGGAGATAGGCCTATATATTTAATGCGCGATAATTAGGTCATTGTAAACAACCCACTTATTCCCTCCATGATAGAGGAATAAAATAGAGGCTTCGTCTGTATCAATCTAACCAAGCTAATTGACCAATCAAAACACACTACTAATAGATGCGTTTAGGAATACACATTACTGTAATTGGTAATTGCACAAACAGTTCTAATTTTTGGGACAAAGCGATTGCAAAAAATAGCTAGCTTATACAATTTTGGTAATAATCATAAAATGATCAGACAAGAAATTTATCTAGTTCCAAGATAAACTTTTTATGAAAGGATTCTTTTTATTGAACCAAGAATATAAAAAAAACTGTACTCTTACGTACAAACTGGGTAACAAAAATCCTTTGAAGAGTTGACAAGAAAGAAAAGTAAGAGAACCCATTTTGATAAGAAGGAAAAAAAACAGAAATGAAAAAAAAAATGAAAAACAACATGAATAGGGATAAATGGAGGGTCATACGAACTCTCTAACACCTACAATGAACTTTTATTATCCGAACAAGAAATACCAGTGGATAGTCCTGTTGGTCTGAACTATACAATGAGTGAGCCGATTGGTATGGTTCCCACCTCGTGCACGCCAGGCCCGGGTTCAATACTCGGCTCTGCAGCCGAGTATTGAATTCGGGTCTTTTATAAACGCTCAGCTCCTCGAATAACCCTTTCAGTCTAAACGTAGCCTCAGTCGGGTGGCGCTGCACTGAGGGTGCCGTGAGTCCACAGGGACCCAGGCCAAATTTCCACAGTGTATTACATTTGAGGACAAATAAAGATTATTATTATTATTATTATTATTATTATAGAGAATAACAATTTA